GTCAGTTGAATTCTCTATGTCTTTCTGGTCAGTATATATGTGTATATATATATATGCACACAGACACCTGTATCACCTGTATGTATGCACGTTTGTGTACATATATGGCACTAAGAATTGATATGAGCCTGAAAGAGAGGGAACATGTCTAAGTTTTCTGGAAAGACAAAATGAATCTGATAGGCATGGAAATACCTAACCTCTGTTGGGAAGGGAAAGCTACTGTAACCCACCTGGTACATCACTTCTGATGTTTCACCTTAGCACAAACACAGCCTGTTACTGGTGAGGCAAGCCTGTAGAGGGGGAGTTTTGACCCCAGCAAGATGTGTGATTGTAGATTGGATGTAGTAAATTACAGATTCTCTCATACTTCCCACCTCATAAAGTCTGTCTCCCAGAGCCTTTTCCCACCCACAGGCAGCTAATGCCCTGAAATGCCTAGAGCAGCCTCTCATAATAAGCACACCTGGACATGTCCGAGGAAGGAAATGTGATGGCACAAAGGAGCATCTCCTACCTTCTGACCATTGCATGGCAGCATGGTCACCAGAGCTGCCTCATGATCAACAAATAGGAGACATGTAATGTCCTCACTATATCCCCATAGACTGCAGCACTGTTGGCACCTTCTGCTTTCATTCCTTTGAAACAGCCATGATCCTTGTGTCTGCAACACTGACTCCTGCCCGTGATGTCTGAAGTAAAACCCAATGTTCTGTGTTGCACAAGAGAAGTGGAACCATGGGCTGCAGTGAACAGGCTGCCTGAGGAACCACCCCACAGCATCTTTTGTGCTGGCCTGATACGGAAAGCAGAGGATGCTTTCAGGATGCTGAAAAGGGCTGGATTAGTTCAGTTGAGAAAACTGGGACTGTTCCTGTCATCCATCTCCATCTCTGCTCTTTGTCTTGCATTTGAAGTCATCTAAGCACGGGACTATGCTACTTGGACTGCATCTGGCCCTGAGGAAACCAGGCACATAACAAGGTCTCCTAGGTGCAGCCCTTCTGCAAATGTTCACCTTGTGGTCTTGTGTTGCTAACAGGCAAGTGCAACAAACTCTGATGAAACCTGTTCTCCTGCAGACCCTGTGTATCATGGTCTGTTGTGCACTCTGACAGAATCTGCACGACTGGCTGGGGCTTTCGGCAGCCTAAGTGAGTGTTTTCTGATGCCTAATACACAGTGTTTTCTCTTTGTGCCCTTTCTCTGAGGGCAGTGATTGGGTACATCTCTTCTGTTGCACTGCTCCTTATTGTGAAGTTTATAGGCATTTAATTGTATTAAAAATGTCCATTCCCTCAGTCAAGTTCTATCAAAAATGGTTACTGAATTGACAAGTGTCTCAGGTTAGAAACACTCTCCAGCCATCACTGTATGCAGTGATGCAGGAAGAAATTAAGAGGGGATTACAGAGGAGCTGACGGTTGTTGGCTACCCATGAATTTCCTTGGAGCTCACCGGATGGCATTTCCCAAGTTTTGGAAGGTGCATGGCAGCCAGCCCAGAGAATGTGGTTGTCACGACCATGGGCAGGCAGGCTGGCGTCTGCCCCATCTCTTCCAGCCTTAGTGTACAGTGATACTCCCAAGCAGCCTCGCTAGGCACTCTGCTTGCCTCAGCAGGGAGCTCTTGCAAGCTAGCCAGATGGTGGGTGTTCTGTGGAACATGGGAGACATTCCTTTCAGGCTGAGTGATAAAAAATGCTCAAGGCTAGGAAGATTCCCAAATGAAGGCACTGAGAATCAGTGGAGGTATCAGGGGGTTATGAAATCCCATCAGATAGCAGATGTAATGTGTAATTAGTCTCTGACCCAGCACATAACTTGCTGAGCACCTCTCTGTTCTCCTGAGCTCTGAGATGTTCACAAAAAGGGTTTTTTTCTTCCCTATCAGTGAGTTTCCAGCACTCCTCATGTATCTTTTGAGGTTAATCCACAACAGCATCCTACATCACATGATTAAGTTGGAGCCTTCTGACCCCAGACTTTACAGTTTGGTATTTTTCCTCATAGTACATATTTTTCCTCTCGCTACAGCTTGTCATCTGGTAAAAATATCAGTGCCACTCCTCTGACACTTCCTGACGGAGGAGTCTCAGGTCTCCTGGGTGAGACCTGTTTAGAAAGTCTCACTTCAGGAAGGGAGAGAAGTAATGAGGCAGATGTAGTCTTTGAGAGACTGACTGACTTTTGGATTTGATGATCTTAAAGGTCTTTTCCAACCTAGCTGATTCTGTGGTTCTGTCCATTCTCTCTGTGATGCCAGAGCTCTTTTTTAAACTAAACAGGATCTCCCTGTGTGCAAACACAGGAGGGTGGAGCACTCTGCTACCCCAAAAATTATGCTCATTAAAAATAAAGAAGCCTTTAGGCATGGAGAGAATATAAGCAGCAATGGCTTCTGAATAACAGGTGGGTTTAAGGGATAAGTTCAAGCTAGAATGACAGGTACACTAACTCAGTTTCAAAAAGCTGTTTTGAAAAAGGTAAGAACCCAGAGGCATTTTCTTGGTGTCCCTCTGTAGATAACTAAGCTTTCGAGGGTCTATCTTTACCTGTCAGTACTTCATTATGACTTCTTCGAATTCATCATTCACAGTAGATGTAGGATGTAGGACCACCATCTCTCCTCTCTGGTTACACAACCCTTCCTTTCCCAAAGGAGGAGTTACAAACAGAGAAGTACCATCAGCAACAAGCAGCCCACAATGAATAATGAGTGGTTTAGCTCAATAGTTCCTTACAGGGTTTCATAGCCAGTCTGGAATGGTATGGCTCTAAACAGTAGAAGTAATTTATGAAGATGTTCCTCTATCTGACTGTAGTTTCCTAGTTCGTACAGGTATGTACACCATGGCATTACTCAGAAACACCAATGTCAGCTGGGTAAGGCAGATGCCAAATTTACCTGAATACACAACAGGAAGTTCATGCCACATTTATTCTAGGAACCATAGAACCACAGACTGGTTTGGGTTGGGAGGGACCTTAAAGCTCATCCAGTTCCAACCCCCTGCCATGGGTAGGGACACCTTCCACTAGAGCAGGTTGCTCCAAGCCCCTGTGTCCAGGCTGGCCTTGACCACTGCCAGGGATGGGGCAGCCACAGCTTCTCTGGGCACCCTGTGCCAGCGCCTCAGCACCCTCACAGGGAAGAACTTCTTCCTAATGTCTCATCTCAATCACCCCAGATGACTAGGAGTAGTACATTGCTAGTTTCCAGGCTTAGTTTGAAGCCAAACAAATCAATGCAAAAGAACTGTCAGTGACTGCAACAGGTCTTTGGGTCCAGGTACAGTATGGGGTGCTCCATACAGATACCCCTCCATGTAGCTGAAGTCAGGGTACTGGCGTAAGTTTCATTCAAGTGTAATGCTTCACATCCATCCAAAGAAAGTGTCACACGGAGCATCAGCAGCTGTGTACCATGTATTTTAATAAACCGTATAACTAGCAGAAAAATAGTTTTGGATGTGTTTGTCCTCCTCCCCCTTAAAATAAAAAACAAAAGATCAAATTAAACCCAAAATAATGCCAACCCCAAAACAGGAGAAAAAACCTGTCCCAGAGCGAAGCTGACACACAATACAGAGTTGGAAAATAAAGGTCTTTCATGACATTCTTAGGTAAAGAAATGTTTGTAAAACACAAGGCAGTGAATAATAAAATGCTTATTGTTTTGATCAGCTTCTCTGTATATATGTATATGGAGATACATATATATTTATGCTGATACACCCTTGGTGGGACGACATAGTACATCTGTAAGACAAAAAAAAAATAAAAATAGAAGGTTGATTGTGGGGAAGAAAATAATTTTATCATTTCAGTCAGTGGAGTAAGGACAGTGATCAGTTTCCTTACAGTGTACCATGGCGCTGCTTAGCGAGGGACAACCTTGTCTCTCCATGGCTATGTTGTGTCCCTGGTCCACGGATGAGTTGTGAGCTTGAGATCTGAGTGGTCTCCTTCACTGCTCTGTGTGCGAGCAGGACCCCAGAAATGTATGAAGCATCCCTTCCCCTGGTTAATTCCCATGCTTCACCGTGATTTGTAATTTATTAGTATTTCAGTTTGCATCTCCCTCCCCCTCCCCCCGCCCCAGGTTTCTTGCACTGACTGCTACGCAGGTTTCCATGGTAAGACGGAGCAACCCAGGTGAGCAATATGCCACAGGAATGTGCCGTTATCACGATATGACCGGATGGAGGAATTCGTTTTACAATGGATCTCATGCTACTTCGACTTCACCCTCAGTCTGCGGAGCCAAGTCATGCAGCAACCTCAGCTGTTCTGCACTGGGTGGGCCTGTGGGTCACATCTTAATCCAAAAACAAGGAAAGGAAAAAAAAGAATATTTTTTTATTTCCTTTTCTCCTTCCACGGAAACCTACCCACACAAGAAGAGTAGGCAATGCCATTCTACGCTGAGGTCTCTGCTTCACTCTTAGGCAAGTAAGTCCTGTGTTCAAAACAAAAGAGAACATATTCTTCCTCCTGTTGTTACATTGCCAGCCACCATCCAGGCTTTCCCAGCTCTCAGTGCCGTGCTTAACAAGCAGACTAAGCACAAGCTCATGCTGGCTGCAAAGTTCAGGTCCCCAAAAAGGTATTGAGAGAACAGCTCAGTTTGCCAGCTGCTTGTAAACACCATAGAGCAAAGAAGAAAAGGCAAACACCCCTCTCCACACCTCCCCCAACTTCCTTTTCCTTTTTCCTTTTTTTCTTTCTTTTCCTTTTCTTTCTTTCTCTCTTTCCTTCTTTTTTTCTTGTAGGGGGGTTCATGAAGAGAAGGAAGACTTGTGCGTCACAGATTGTGGAACTATCCCCCCAGCCAGCTTCCCACCCTACAATAATGCACAAGCCCACGTTATCCTGTACCTGCCCCCAGAAGGTGTTTGTCTCTTCATCTTTTTGGAAAGTCATGCAGTCTGATCTGCTGGGGGGTTCTGCAGTGCAGGCGCCGGGTGGCTGGTTCTCCCCTTTTCCTGAGGTTCATAAATGATTGTTTTTGGACAGATAGGCAATAAGAGCCACGGCCACCCCAACGTAGATGCCAGTTCCGATTGTGATGGACAGGACAGCCAGGAAGAGTGCTCGCCGGGAGCTGGAGCTTGCATGGTGGAAGTCCCCCTTGGCTACTGCTTTGTTTGTCTGCAAGATACACAACAACAACATATTTATTTGTTTCCCTTGGAAACGAAGATGTGATGCTCATTTCTTGGCTGAAACATGGTCCTGGGATATGACAGTGAACTGGTTGGAGATCAGGTGCTTTTTTAGTTGAATGAGGTTATTTGCACAGTTAAGATGATGACTGAACCAATGGCATCTCAAGTGGTACTTTTAAGCACCTTTAAGCTTAAAAATACCCTAGGATTTAAAACTATGCACCATGATGACTCCTGACATGGCTCAGCCTCCCATGAGAATGTGGACAGATGGGCTGAGAACCAAGGATCTGCCATGTCCGCTCCAGACACAGCTACAATCCTGCTTCTCTGATGTGGCTGGACTCCAGCCTGGCTGGGAAAGGTAACAAAGGAAAAGCCCTCTAGAAGTGCCACTTGCACAAAACCACTCTTCCATGTCAGCTGAAATGGTTGGTCTGTTCTTACCTGGAGAAGGATGAGAGGGGATGAATTTTCCCGTCCGGTGCAGTGCTTTTGAGCACTGACTAGGTGGAATGACTGGCTCAGGTTCACCCCCATAGCCAGGCCAGACACCACCAGTTCCCTTTCATCAACCTTAGGCTTGAGCTTTAGTGCAGGACAAACAGCTAGGAAACCAGAGCTAGTAGACACTCTTTTAGCCTTAATTCAGATGAACTCTTACACATATGAACAGGGCAGTTCCCTTGATTATCAAAGGGATGACACACCACGTAAAAAGAGGAGTTTCCATTTTGATGGTGTTTTTTGGTGTGTCTTTCCATGGTTGCCAGTAGCTCAGAAGATTAATCCAAAGCTCTGGCAATTGTATCACAACTTCTATGCAGCTTTGAGTACCCAAGCAGGTGCCTTGAATTCCATCTGATCAGCTGGAGTTCCTAAAGTAATTTGTCAGGCTTTTTGGCTTGAGAACAACAACCCTCTCAGAGTTACTGTATTTGTTAGTACAGCTGTCAATGATGAACCCAGAAAGCAGTCACTTTCTCATTGATGGATGTCTCCTGTGATGATCCCACAGTCACAGTGACATCAACAGGATGGCCACTGCAAAAAGCTATATCTGGAGTTTGAGAAGCATTCAAATACTGGTTCTTCTAACATCCTTCCTGATGCCTCCAAGCCTAGGACCCAAACCAAAAGCAAACTCCCTGCTCAAAACAGGCAAAGAAAAGCTAAAATTGGACAGGACTGATCTACCCATTGACAAGACCACTTAATGCCTCGCTGAGACCTTGGTGTGGTATCAGCAGGGTCACCCAGCAGGCAGTAACAGAGCTGTCACTTACAAGAAATGTCTTGTAGAAGCATATGAGCTCCATAAGTTCTGAGACAGTCCTTGTTCCCTTGCAAAAATGAGTGAGGAATTTATAATGCTTTAATTGTATTTCCTCACAAATGCTCAATGTGCTGGGACATTTTCTGCTTCAGTGTCACCTATTGCTCTATTTATGTCTTTTATTTTACTATCTTGCTACTCAGAGCAATTTACAGCAGCCAAATGACAAGCTTTCATGCTGAAAACAAGGCTTCTGGCCTTTCTGTCAATGACTTTATTAGGGGAACCGTCTCTTCTCATTCATCAACCTAATTTTTTAAGCATAACGCCTTATAAATGTTTCAGGCAGAACCCGTGTCAAATAATACGTATTAAAAGAGAGAGAGACTAGGCTGCAGGCAGGGGGGAAATGATCATTTCAAAACAACAACATAACAGCAGCATAAACTTCCAAGAGTTTATACACCTACTGTCATGTCCTTCAGTTTAGCTGGGTACTCACTTTGCAAAGGATGACCAGTTAGTGACAGGGATTTAATAAGCTTCTTGTCTGGGACCTCCAGATACTCAAAAAGAGCCCTTCCCAGAAAAATGCCAGGAGCTTTAGGCATCATGGGTATATTTGTCAGTGTGGCTTAAAAGTCATGGCAGGGTAAACAGAGAAAGCTTTAGAATGAGTTGGTCATTCAGCTCTTCAAGCATCTGCTAGTCATTGCAGCATCAATAAAAGGCTTGAGCAGAGAGGCTTCTATTCACTAAAGTTAGGTTGGATTTGTCAGGTGAAGGTAAATGCACAGCACTGAAACTATTTGAGCTTTAGGGTAAACTGTGGTAAACAATTTCAAACCTCAAAATGGAGGGAAAGTTTGAAAATGTTGGAACATTTCAATTTGACATTTCTGAAATGTCACATTACGTTATGAAAAATTCTGCAACATTTTGGGTTTGACCTCTTTGAAATGAAACTTCTTGCAGTTTCAAAACAGCATTTTTTTTCAGTGAAAAATAGATGGAAACACAAAGGGAAAAGAAACCATTAACCAAAATGTCAAATAATCTGAAAACTTGACAGTATGTCTTGATTGCATTCAATAAAAGAGGTCAGATCTTCCCAAAACGATGAGTGATCCAAAGGGATTCAGAAGGCTGATTTGTCAAGCGCTAATAGACCTTTTTTTTCGGATAGGATCTTCAACCTAGTGAGATACCTGCTCACAGAGAACAGCTTTTATACTTGATGAGCTCTCTGATGATATTTGTGAAAGGATTGGACCTATGGTGAAAATCCTTTGCTTGGGGAACAGACTCAGGCTTTCACTGAAGTTCTAGTTTCCAGCACAGTACCTAATCTGAGTGTGGGGTTTTCCGTTTAACCCAATGTATATTTTGTGACTTGGCAAAATCCAGTCTTTCCTACCTCACTGTGCATTGGGAGGGCACTCTTATATTCCTCCTTTATTCCATTCAGAAAGGTTTCCATTGAGAAATCATCCACACAGAAGCCATCCTCCGTAAGTGTCGGACTAGTCTGAAAGGATTTGTTTATCACTAAGAAAATGCTTTGTTGCTATTTCCTAATTGGCAAAACCATCCCATTACTCCCCAGAGCCACTATACGCAAATTGCAGCATTTCTGCAGGTTTAAACTAAACAGATCTGGAAAACAGTTGCTACACAAAATGCAACCGAGGCCCATTTTAATAGGTTAACATCTGGCAACTAATAAGTGGTTTTTCTTGGTTTGTTTGTTTGGATTTTTTTTAAACAAGGATTAGATCTTTGGTATCCCTGTGCACATTGAGAAAGTCCCTTGGTTTTGGTAACCCCCCATGGCAGGGGGTTGGAACTGGATGATCTTTAAAGTTCCTTCCAACCCAAACCATTCTGTGATTCTATGATCCACCCCATTCAATGCCTGACACAGAGAAGTGACACTCTGTTTGGGTCTTCCATGCCAGGGATGCTGTGCTGTAGCAAAACCCCATGTGGGAAATGAGGACAAGACATGCCTCGTGTTCTCATCTGGCATCCATACCCAGCCTGGAAACGTATTTCTGTGAGTTCCTCTTCACAGGCTCAGCTCTGGGCTCACTAAAGCAATACCGGCTTTTTGTTACTTCTCTGCCCTGAAAAGCAAAGCCCCAGCTATGAATGTTACTGGGCTGAATACCTACCTGGTATTGACTAATCCATCATGATTGATGCGGCCAGCACTGGTGGAAGAATGAAGATCCAAATGCTCTACTAACAAAGGGCTTGATTCACTACAGCCTCCTCCAGCTAAGTGCCTTAAATTAACTATTAAGGAATACAAGCAGCTATTCTGAAGGCCTTAAAAGTGGCTGCAGAAGTAAGCACTTTTCCTAATCAAAATGATGTTATCTCTGGAGTTTTACGGTACTTCCATTCATTCGCTTCTTTCTCTGGCAAGACTGTGGCTGGCAGCCAGATGATTGATGAACCAATTTAATACAGTCTTTGGGCAGCAGCAGGACCAACAGGTTTGATAAACAGGGGACAAGTGCAAGACATGGGATGAATTATGAGTGGGGGATAATTCATCGCATAGCAGCGGACAGCTTCCCTCACTGCACAGCCAAAGGGTGAGACACTTTTCTTGCAAAGGGTTTGTGTCCCAAGCCCCCTGCCCCTTGGTTTTCCCTTGTTCTGTGTCCTCTGGACGCCCAGATATGACTTTCTGATCAATTTGCTAGATACTGCAAAGGTTGTGATGAAAGCTGGGTACTCCAAAGCTGAAAACAGGCGCTTGAGCAGATACCAGCCTTCAATCAATCCTCTCCTTAGAGATTTTGGAATTCAGCCAGGAAAGTGAGGAGGGGCAGGGGAAGGAGGAGTGAGGAGGTCTGGAAGGTTTATCTTGCTTCGTATAACTAACAAAATGAATGTCTTGTTGTTTAGAAACACTTTCAAGGTACTTCCCTGGAGTTTCCACTTGAGCTTCTGCAAAACATATTCATCATGTCTCTGGGCTGCATGTTTTATGGGCTGAGAGAAGATGAATACTGTACCTCCATAGCTGCAAGGCCAAAAAATTCTGCTGCATCCCACAGTGACTCATATATCACACTCACAAAATACCTTCTGGTACGCTGTATCTGGAAACAAGAAACACATTGATCACAATTATTAATCCTGCCTCATCACCCTGAGGTGGAAGAGCAGGAGCAGCTCCATGTAGGAGGAACATAGGGTATCCTGACCCCTTTGGTCAGGTGATGGGAGGATTTCTTTTCATTTCATGGTGAAGGAATGGCCAGCAGGGAGCAGGGATGCGCAGGATCCGTTAAGACACTGGCCAGACCCTGGGTCTTACTTCTGTAAGTGGCATGCAAAACTTGCCACAGAATGAGGAGTAACTCATACAAAAAATGCTTCTGCTCCCGTATCTTCTCCTGTCTTTTACTCAAAAGCTCTGGCAACTGCTTTTAATTTGCCCAACTTGTACTTCTGCTGATGTCAAATTTCTGGGCAGTATCTTCCACCTTCAGGCTCACACCACTTATTTTCACTGATGGTGAGAAGACCCCAGAGACTTTGCTAAAGATACAGATGGGAAAAGGGTGAATTCAGGATCTGCCTCCGGACCATGAATGACAGCAGAGAGGTGCCAGGCAGCAGGGGAAAACATGGGGCTGGCAGACCCAGCACAGTGTTTGGGACGTAGCAGGAGAGTTTCAGGAAAGAAT